TTGGGTGTGCAGCAATTCAATGAAAGCGCTATATATATATATATATACAGTATACGTATATATGCATCATGCCTAAAACGGTAGCCTACATTACCGACTTTCCTGTATCTCATCCGTTCTTTTTCAGTCACTCCTGAAACTTTACTGCATGTATAGGGTATGAAAGGGTACAGGTTACTAAAAAGCGGTCACTCACTTCAATTGATCACAATCTCACGATGTTCCTTTATAATCAGTGAAGCTCTCTAAACTGCAAATAATATCTTATTTATGTGTCTACGTGTGGCGTTTAGCACTGAGTGAATTATGACTGTCATAATGCGTGCGTGAGAGGTGGCAGCCCAATCTATTTATATCTTTATAAATATCTTAATATATTATTATATCCTATAATAACCATTTACACGCACGAGCATTATCACACGAGCTTCGCTCCTCCCGCCTGCAGACGCAGGTTTACAAGTTACTTTTTCCTATGTTTTTCAATCAATTTCTTGACTTTTCCCCCCTTATGAGCAACACATTTTTGTACACGATAAAAGCTCCTTGTGGTTTCTCGGTTTGGCCGATTTGAGCATCCATAAACAACGCAAAACACAGGCATTTGGAGTTTCTGCTAGTGATTCCTATGGAGAGAGAAATCACTTCCTGCCCTCCAGCTGCATTTAGCGCGTCATCAGTGACGTCATGTGCAAACAACCTATTGCTTAACACCAAGATCATAGGCTTTCTCATTAACATGCCTCAGTGCAAGTCATTGTCAAAATGAAGACTTGAATATGTCCAATCAAATTAAAGTAGGTGGGTTAAGCATGAATTCCAGAGCGATGCTTCAGCTGACGGTTATAATGTGCGAAATAAGATGTAAGTAGCTAAACATTTAATGTTTGGAAGCTGTTTTACAATAGATATGGTAAATGACTGGCAGAATTAATCGGGTATTCAAAATAATAAACTGTCTAATTTCCCTATTTTGAACTGAAAATATATAACTTATGTGATTCATGTAATTTGTAATTGTCAATGTGACAAGACAAGAAACATTAACAGCCGTTTTCAGCATATTATGTGTAAGATTAGTAATGAATGTGCACATATTGTGAATGAATTTAATAAACTTTGGTTCCATATCTTTTCTGGTAGCCTTTAGCAATTACACTTCTAATATTCTAATAAAATGATTCATAAAACACATGTAAAAATCAGTTGACCCAATGTTTACTTTCTTCACTGACGGATGAAAATGAAAAGACTGTATTAATCAAAGTTCAGCTATGGGAAGGGAAGAGAAATAGGGCCAAGATAAAGAGACTGAGAGAAAAAGAAGTTGATTGAGATGAAAGAAAAAGAGCATGCACTTATGGCTTTGGAACAACATGAGGGTGAGTCAGCAATGACAGAATTTAGATTTTTAGGTCAACTAAACCTTTAATTGTAGAATAATTAATTATGCTGCATCATAAAACATCCGAACCCTTAACGCAGAATTGCGTGTTTCCTTTGCAGGAAGAAAATCCCAGAATGCATTGGCACTCCAAAATAAGATTTTTGTGTATTTTCATGATTACTGGAGAATCATGTTGTGTACGTAGCAACACATGTGATGTTAACCTGTTGCTTGGGTCAAGTTTCCCCTGCGGAGTGCTGACAAAGTCAAATTACAATCACATTATTTAAGTATGTTAAGGCCTGTTCATATCAAGGACAACAAGTATATCGATAATTTTTAAGTTTTCTAATTCTTTGTAAATAGGAAAGTCCACACCACAACAATAACACCACAGACAAACTATATCATTGGAATCAATTGTAGCAAATTAGCTCCAAAGGGAAATGTATATAAATAATTACTGTTAATTATGATTAATAATTTTTTTTTTATATCAGCTGCCAGCAGTAACTGTAGCAGAATTAAATAGCCCTCAACTAATCTGTTCGTCCAGCGAACATTCAGTGTAAGTTCATATCAACTCTAGGAAAGGATATTTTAGAAAATACTTTCATACAGTATTAATGCATTAGAGCATGTAGCAAAGATCAAAATCGTAAAGGGACATTAATTTGCAAGGCAGAATCAGAAACTCATGTAATTTGTGCACAAGAGTTTTATTAACTAAACACTAACACAAACTAGTCTAACAAACAAACAAACAAAAAATCACTCATACGTGGGAAAGGGCAAATCAGACTTTACGGATGCAGTCTCTGATGAGAGTCTTGATAGTTTGGAGGTTTGGTGGTGTAGGAGTCACGATCACCTTCTTCCGGGTTTGAAGAGTGAT